GATAGGACAGAAAGTGACTTCTATACTTTTAAAATTTATGCAAAACTTAGGAGGTCTTTAGACCGAGCCAACTATAGAACAGCTACAGTCAGCGTTGGAAATTTTGTCCAATCAGACATAACAATATTTTTAATAATAAGTGTCATTTTTATATTTTATTGGATCAATTGTAAATTCTAACAATTAATTGACTCAAATTATTAACTAGTGCATTTAAAAATGCACAACATATTTAATATAAAAAAATTTTAATGAATGAAAGAGAAAAAAAATTCCAAGATCAATTAATCTGTATGGTCTGTAAGAAGAGTTAGATTAATATATATGGTAAATCAACCAATTCAAGTATAACAAAATTAAAAAACACATGAAGATAAATATATAGGAGGCTCAATTTTTTCCAAATCATAAATATCATTCAACTTCCACTTGGTTTTTTATTAAGAAAAAGGGCAAACAAAATAATTACTCATTTCTATTTTTCTACAGACAAGGCTGATGATGAATTTGATAAAATTGAAAAACTTGATGTATATTGGAGATGAAGAATCAAGTTCAGGACCTCAAAATGTAAAATTGTAAGTTTTATTTTGCTTGATAATTACAGAAAAAGAATCTTGTTCATGTTCAGTATGTTGTTCCTTGAATATTGTACAATTTTTAAGTGAGAAGTTACCAATTTTTAGTACTTGTTAATTTAGCTTTACAAAAATGACAAAGTACATAATGATTAGATTTATTGGCCTTTTCATTTAATATTGTGATATGGGGCATGGAAAATAGAAACAGCCCTAACTGCAAAATCTCGATTTTGAGTTAATAACATTCTTATATGCAATTCTTTACAAGGGTTAATTTTAGCTTAGTATTAGTATTAGGAACTATAGTGCAGGACATCTATAATGGTCAATAGTCCGAAATTTAAAATGTTGATCATATGTGACATAGCCAATCAAATTCTGACTTTTTTCTAGTAGTAATAAGATTAAAAATTTTTTTTTAAATTTTATAACAATAATAATAATGGACAACGAATATGGATTAATAAGAGGTATCTATTCTCAAGTGTAGCTTTTCTCCACTTCAAGTGAGGGACATTATTTTTAAGTGAAGTTTTCCTCCATTCCTCCCTCACTTGGGAAAGATGCTTCTCACCTTTCCTGTCTTATATATATTAATATAAATTATTATTAAATAATACATATTATTAAATGGTTAGAATGCTGTTCAAATCCTGAACTTACAATATTTATTGGAGGCTCGGATCATACAAACAAAAATGCCAGTTATTTTGAAAATTGGATAAATGTTAGTTTACCTGGAGCAGTATATTCCCATGTAAAAAAATTTTCTGGTAAAGGTAAAACTTTTTTCTTGGTACTCCTTTATATATATAATTTCAACTATATTATGGAGAGTTGATTCATATTAAAAAATATTTTAAATTAATTATAATTAATTTAGGTTTGCCCATGTGCACTTTCATGATTGAATCAAAGCTGGTGTTTTTTTTTCAATTACAATAATCGTGAATATCATGGTAATGAAGACCACCTAATTATTTTTTCAGCTGCTACCCATTATAGAAGTAATAATTAGTAAAATATATCCGTGATAATGGTAATGATAATAATAATAACAATAGAAGTAATAATAATATTAATAATGGCACTGATGGTACTCAAAATAATAATAGTAGCAGCAGTAACATCAGGAAATTAATTTAGCATAAACTTGCATAAATCTTACAATGCTGACATAATATTGTGTAAATCTTATAATATTGTGTAAATCTCACAGTGCTGATGTGAGTTTTACACTTTGTATTATTAAACTTATGATTGACATGTGCAAATTTTTTTTATATTTTCCAGATGAATGTTGATAATAATAGTAGCAGGAGTAATGGTACTTTTAATAATAATAGTAGCAGCAGTGCTGCTGATAATAATAGTGGCAGTAATGGTAGTGGCAGTGAAAAAATAATGATAAGAATCATAGTGTTTTTGATGATGGGTATGATCATATTGCGAGTGTGTAAATTCAAATACAGCTTGTGATGTGTCCAATAAATATATAAGATAAAATAAATAAAAAAAAGTCCAATATATAAATCTCCCTGTATACACACACAGCTCAGGATTCAATACTCTATACAAGGCCTCTGTATCCACACACAACTCAGAGCCTACTCAAAATACTCTATTGCACAATTCTCTCTCTCTCTACAGTACTAATGCTAAGTACTGCTGGAATTAGCCTAAGATAATAAAATAAAAAGAATATATATAGTGCAGGACACCTAGTCCCTACAACTTTTATTAGTCTTGCAAATCCTTTAACTCCTCCAAAAATGGAACATGTGACCAAAAAAACAAGATGACATTTTGAAGCTAAGACCTTTTTCTACAAAATGACATTTTCATTTTGTTGATATGCCATGTTGTTGTGGAGGAATTAAGCCTTAAAGTTGCACAATTTTAACAAATTTACTATGTTAATCCCCCAAAGTGACGTGTTACACACAAATTTTTTATATTAAAAATGAATGAATTGGAAGAATTGAAAATTTTGAAATCTGTATTGCAGATCTTTTATCACGTGATACCAATAAAGAGAATGCAACGTGACAAACCTATTTTTAATACACGTGACTGTAAAAATTTTATTGATTTTTGATTGTGAATTTTTTCCCAAATCTGTCGCTGTGGCGCAGAAAGTTGTAGGGACTAGGTGTCCTGCACCATACAAGAAATATTTACAACTATACCACTTGAGGTGTCCCTACAAGCAGCATAGTGTGAGATCAAAATCCACATCTCACACAAATCTATTGATTTGGCTAAAATACTATTTATTTTGTTTTATGGCAGTATCTGGTTATGTAATTCTTTGATTACTTTCTCTCACTATAGCACTCAAGCTATTATTTACAGGGCAAGTTTCCTTACTTCCCTTCCAGTAATGCTTTCTCGGCAGTTCTTTGTTATCTGCCTGAGCCAGCATGTCTCAATGATATTTATAATATCTGAAGTACCCGCCATGATACTTTCTACACTGATTATTATATTTATGGTTCAGTCTCTTAACTGACCTCACCTAGATAGGATTTCTGCCACTTAGGTGTTGGCCTAATCTAAATAAAATAAAGAAATAAAATTAAAAGAAAATACACACACAACTATACTTATCAAAGGCATCCCCCTGGTAAGATAGTAATTAATTAATAATTAAGTTAGAGCAAAAAGGTTTATATGATTTTGGAAGCAGATGGATAATTCCACTGGCAAGAGTTTATTTTAAGAGATATTTTATGTTTGTATTTTATTATTAAGATATTATGTTTATTACAAGATAAAAGTTAAGAATGAATTAACTGATTATTACATGAAAGAGAAATTTATACATGTTAAAGGTTCTATCATCTAGTTATCCAACTTCGTTGAAATCCTAATTTATACTAATTAATATATTCCTTAATTATTATTTAAACCTTCTGTCTAGAATTATTTCAAGTAATTCTAGTCAGTGTGAGTCATGTAAAAAGCATAGTGGAAGTTTGTTGTTACACGAAACATTATACAGAACTCATTGCTTCTGAAACTTCGCCAGTATATAGTTG